CTCCCTCCGCCTTCCTTCCTCTCCTTCTTTACTTTTCCTTCTGTCCTTCCTTTCTTCTCCCCCTCCATATCCATCCTTCTTCCCCCCTTCGCCCTCCCCCTCTTCCTTTCATTTCCTCGTCTGTCCTTCCGTTTTTCCCGTTTCCACGTCTGCCCATCCTTCCGCCATCCCCTCCCTTTCTCCTTCGTTCTTGACAGGATCGCAGAGGCTTAGATGAGACTCTGTCTTACTTCCTTTCCTGTTACTGTGATAAAATATTCCTCCCGAAACACTAAGGGAGAAAAGGTTTGTTCTGGCTGACAGCTCAAGGTCACACAGCCCATCATGATGAAGTCAAGGCAGCCCGCGCTTGAAGGAGCTGGTCACATGACACCCCATCAGGAAGCAGAGTGCTTTGGTGCTGCGGCCACCCGCTCCCTTTCTCTACCTATAAAATGTCCATATGCATCAAAACAGCCCCAGCAGGCAGGCAGGCCCAGGGGCTGGTCTCCCAGGTAGTCTAACTTCTGTCCAGTTGACAGCACCAACCATCACACCAGCTCACCCCCCAGATAACTAAAAAGAGAGATGGGTGCCGGTGCCAGCCGGCCAAAATGGACAGTACCTGAAAGGGGGAGTGAGGATTGAAAGAAAGAAAGAAAGAAAGAAAGAAAGAAAGAAAGAAGACAGGAAAGACGCTTCTTGGGAGGGCTCACAGTGAATACTGCCAGCCTCCGTTTATTTCAGTTCTATCTTTTTATACAGAAGAACTCAATTAGTTACAACTGCTGTATTTCCCCACCGGTATCTGAGGGTCAGGGAGCGGTCAGATCAAAGGCTTCTTGGATCCTTTTGTTTACCACTAATGCCTCAAGGTCAGGTATTGTGAGGCTCTCCAGAAAACTTCTTCCTCCTGTATGGGCAGGTTAAGTACTGGTTTGCATGACACAAACTCAGTAAATGAGGCTGCTGCAGCTCAATGATTAGAGGCTCCCGACAGATGGGGATGTGGCTTAGTGGTAGAGTGCTTGCCTAGCGTGCATGAGGCCGCAAGCTCAAGAGGGCAACACACACACACACACACACACACACAAAGAGCAGCACAGGGTTGGAACCCTGGCTCAGGGGTCAAGAGTAGTGATTGCTCTTGCTTCTAGGTTCAGTTCCCAGCACCCACATGGCAGCTAACAACTGTTCATAATTCCAAGTCCCAAGGGATCCTCTTGTGGCCTCCATGGGCATTGCAAGCATGTGGTGCACCTACATAGGAACAGCAGGTGAAACAGTCAGACACATAAAATAAACAGTGGGAACCAGTGTGGGGAGGGTCCCCAGGGAATGGACTTAGACACTGAGGAGCTTTTCACAGATTTTATTAACGTCTTTTCTTTCACAAACACCAAAATCACTGGCCTACTTCAGCAGAAGTTTTCGGTTTTGCCTGTATGTCATAGCCCTGGTCAAAAGAAAAATGTGAAGATTAGAAAGAGCACACATCTTTAGAACCAGGACTTGAGAGGCAGAGGCAGGTGGATCTCTGTGAGTTTGTGGACAGCCTGGCCTACATAGTGATTTCCAGGCCAGCCAGGGCTACATAGTGGGACCCTGTCTCAAAACCAAAACCAAACTGAAAATGAAACATAACAGAAAAAAAAAAGAAAATAAAGATAAGGTTTGAGGGCTGAAGAGATGCTCAGTGGTTAAGAGCACTGGCTGCTCTTGCAGAAGACCTGGGTTCGAATCCCAGCACCCACAGGGCAGCTAACAACCATCCATAACTCCAGTTCCAGGGGATCCAACACCCTCTTCTGACCTCCAAGGGCACTGAATATGTGTGGTGCACTTAGATACATGTAGCAAAACACTCATACACATAAAATAAATAAATAATAAATCTAAGAGAGAGAGAGAGAGAGACCCTCAGGGCCTCTCTCTAATCATGGTCTGGCATCATTGGTTTCTAGGCAGGACTGGGAACCAGGGTAGAATGTGGGTGCTAAGGACTCAAGGAGCCAGCAGAGATTGACAGGAGGAAACGGTGCGGAGATGAGGCCACACCCTCTCCCAGAGCTGCGTCCAAGTCCTGACTCCTCAGTTCCTGCCCAAGTGACCTTATTTGGAAACAGTCTTTGCAGGTGTAATTAAATTAAGGTGAAATGACATCATCTCGGGTTTAGACCAAGCCTGTATCAAACACTGGTGTCATTATATGAGAAAGGTGAAGCCTCTCCATGACCCAGAGGAAAAAAATCTACCTGGCTAATACTAACTTAGATGCTGCTTTGGCTCAATGCTCTGACTCTTCACCGAGGCCCACAAGTGAAACAATGCTGAGATGTAGCTCAGTTGGTAGAGCACTTGCCTAACAGGAGCCTGGTTTCCACCTCCAGCACGTATAGATTGGGTGTGGTGGTGCACTGCAACCCCAGCATTTTCAAGGTGGATCAGGAGTTCAAGGTCATAGGGCCAGCTTGGGCTACAGGAGATCATGCCTCAACAACAACAAAATGAACTATAAAAACCTGTCATTCTGACTTCATTTTCTAATTGTGTCCTTTACTTTGGATCACCTATTTCCCCACATGCTCTACTGCTGAGCCACATGTCAGCCCCTCATTGGGGGATTCTAGGCAGGGGCTCTACCACTGAGCCACACCCCAGCCCCTCACTGGGACTCTAGGCAGGGGCTCCACCACTGAGTGCCTGTGTGTGATTGTATATGGTACAGTGTGCATATGGAGGTTGGAAGAAAACTTGTGGGAGTCAGTTCTCTCCTTCCACCCTGTGGGTACCTGGAATTGAACACAGGTCATCAGGTTTAGTGGCAAATGCCTTTATCTGCTGAGCCATCTTGTGGGTCCCAGAGAACTTTATTGTTGTTTGGCGGGAACTGAATCCAGGCCTCAGGTATACAGGGAAAGGCTCCCCCACTGAGCCACACCTCAGCCCCTCACTTGGGGAGTCTAGGCAGGGGCTCCACCACTGAGTGCACCTCAGCCCTAGACAGGATCTCTACATAACCCAGGCTGACCTCAAATTCAATACATAGCTAAAGATGACCTTGAATTTTTTTTTCAGTTCTCTAATAAAAAATTTTTTAGTTCGCTTTTATTTTATGTGTATGAGGGATGTGCACCATGTGTGTGCAATGCCCGTGGAGGCCAGAAGAGGGCATTAGATCCCCTAGAATTGAAGTATGGACAGTTGTTAGCCAGCATGTGGGTGCTGGGAACCAAACTCAGGTCCTCTGCAAGAGCTCTTAATCACTGAGCCATCTCTCCAGGTCTTGGCCTTAAACTTTTATCAGTTTTCCTGCCTAGGCCTCCTGGGATTACAAATATTTACTACCACACCCAATTTATTCAGTGTTGGAAATGGACTCCATGGCTTGACCATATGAGACAAGCACTCTACCAACTGAGCCCCAAGTCCCCACCATCTCCCACCTTCCCCCATTTTGAGACAGGGTCTTGCTCTGTGGCCCGGGCTGGCCTGGAACTTGCAGCAACCCCCCGCCCTTAGCATCACAGTTGTCCACCTCCACACCATGGTGACATCCATGATTGAGGGACTAAGTGGGGGCTTGGGGACTTAGGAGGGTCAGGGGTGACTCACGCAATCAGGATGACCGAGAAGGTAAGGATAGCCAGTCCCACCACTATGATGTTGCCCACCAGTGCTGTTTTCTTCGGGTTGTCCGACTGGAACTTCAGAACCATGCGTGGCTGCCCGTCGACTGGGTAGGTGGAGATGGGCTTCAGCTCTGAGTCACCCTCTGTAGCCTTCCTGACCAAACTGTTCATCCAGCCCCCCTCCATCCCCCCAGTGCTAAGAATTGGGCTCCAAAGCACTTCCATCCTGGCAACCCCCCATGCCCAGGCTGTCCCATTGACACTCAAACTTAGGGCTCAGGGTGCCTCATTACACGGCAGGCATGGGAAGGAAGTGGGAAGGTGGATTCAAACTCAAGAAAAGAGCCAGGCAAGGTGACTTACAACTGTCCTCCCAACACTTGAGAGGCCAAGGCAGAAAGGTTTCTGTGAGACCCTATTAAAAAAAAAAAAAGTGTGTGTGTGTGTGTGTGTGTGTGTGTGTGTGTGGTGCAGCACTGGCTGCTCTTGTAGAGGATCTGGGTTCAGTTCCCAGCACCCACATGGCAACTAACAACTGTCCATAATTCCAGTTGCAGGGAATCCAACACCCTCTTCTGGCCTTTCCAGGCATTGCACCTGTGTGATGCATTTACATACATGCAGCCATGCACATAAAACTACAAAACAAATGAGTAAGAAAAACAAGAAGAGCGGGAAGGAGGGGACAGGAGGGAAGACTGGGGCGAATATGTTACCAGATATGTGCATGAAGTTGTCAAAGAATAAATAAAGGGATTTTTGAGATAGAGAAGAGAAAGATGGGAAGGGGGAGGGAAGGGGGGGTAGAGGAAGAGAAACAAAGGGGAGGGGAATGGGAGGACGCGTGGAAGAGGAATGGAGGCAGCAACACAGAGGTACCACGGTAGGTGGGGCCCCCAGGTAGTGCACACCTTCGTCCTGGGCCTCCTATTTTGAACCCTCCACTCTGCTCCCATCCCTAACTCCCTCCTACTTCCCTCTCAGCTTGACCTCCAAACTGTAACTGCACCCTATCCAACCATCTGACCGCCCACCTGAGTCCAGCTCTGGTCCTTGCTTTCCTTGAAAAGGCACCATCTAGGGGCCAGAGAGCTGGCTCAGCAGTTACAAGCACTGACTGCTCTTGCAGAGGACCTGGGTTCGATCCCCAGCACCCACATGGTGGCTACGAAACGTTCTTGACCCCAGTTCCAGGGGAATCCAACACACTCTTCTCTCCTCTGTGGCACTGCACGACACAGGTGCACTCACATACATGCAGCCAACACACTCATACACATTAAAAAAAGAAAAAGGGCATCATTTACCTCCTGCAGTTCCTCATGGGGCCTGCAGGGTGTGTTCAAAACCACATCAGCTCAGGTCCTAGCTTAAGGCATTAAAAACCCAAGTCTTGGGTTCAAGAGATGGCTCAGCAATTAGGAGCACTGGCTGCTCTTGCAGAGGACCTGGGTTCACTCCCAGCACCCACATGGTGGCTAACAATTGCCTGAAACTCCAGTTCCAGGGGATCTGATGCCCTCTTCTGGCCTCTGTGGGAACTGCATGCAGGTGGTGCACACACATACATGCAGGCACTCAGACTCTAAAATAAAAGTAAGTGCATCTTTGAAAACCCCAAGCCTTCACCATGGTCTTGAGCAATCCAGTCCCATGAGATGTAGTCCTGATTCTAGCTTCCCAGTCACTCTCTGATTCCCTGGCTCTTTATCCTCTTGATTGGAACCACACTGGCTCCTCCCTGTCATAGTGAATTTTCGTGTGTGCTGTTTCCTTTCTTGTTCACACTGTCCCTGTTGCTCTCACATCAAATCTCAAAGGTCATCTCCTCAGAGAGACCCCCTCACCTCATCTGCACTTAAAAAATCTTTATTTTATGTGTATGAGTGTATTGCTTGCATGTGTATAAGTGCACCCATGTTGTGCAATGTCCCCAGAGGTCAGAAAAGGGTGTCAGATTCCCTGGAACTGGAGTTATGGATGGTTGTTAGCTGTCATGAGGGTGCTGGTATTCAAACCTGGGTCCTCTGCAAGAGCAGCTAGTGCTCTTAACCTCTGAGCCATCTCTCATTCAAGAGCACTTGAAGGTCAATCAGAGACAATGGTACTCTGAGAGAATCTTAGCCATTTTCTGTTGCTAATAACACAATATTACAGACTGGGCAAGTCACAAAAAGAATTTAAATAACAGATATCTAACTGGACTTAAAACTCTCTCAGTGGGAGGGAACTCATGGGTGGCACTGTAAACATAGCCAAATGTACATGGATGGGGTGGTCATAGATCCTAGAGAAAACTACCTCTGGTCATATCCCTAGACAAATGTAATTTCTTACTGTATGCTAAATATGGATCCTTATATTTACAGACAAGTATAAAAATTGTCACCCATCAAGAACTTTCATTTTTCAACACATGGAGACGATTATAGAGTTTCACCATTGGTCACACCTAGAGAAAAACTGAGAGCTGACAAGTCCAAAGTTAAAACATCCATTATGGAACTTCTAAACATAAGGTTCGCACAACATAGTAGAAAAGGGGATAAAAAGAATAATAATGCATCCCACAACTCTCATCAATGAAGCTTCCTCATGCAAGGGAGTGTGATGCACACAGAAGGCCACAGCAGGCTAAAATGTAGGGAATAATACACTGTAGAGTGTGTGTCCCTAGATAGGATTTCTATATTAAACCTCACCCACCCATAACTCAGGGAATAATGCAGAAAAAGGGGTAGAAAAGTTGTAAGTTTCGAGGTTAGTGCATGAACACAAGGGAACAAAGTACTCCATGTGAACTTATGCATACGGACTTGCAGCATAGATGACAGCATGCAATAGACCCATGCACACTCAATCAAACAAAAACCCAGCATAGAACTGTGGGACAGGCAGTAGACCACAACCTACTGACAGCTGATTACTACCGGGTGAAGGACAGTATATCCTCACTAAGAGAGTGATTCTGGGGCTGGAGAGGTGGCTCAGCAGTTACAAGCACTGACTGCTCTTGCAGAGGACCTGGGTTCGATCCCCAGCACCCACATGGTGGCTACGAAACGTTCTTGACCCCAGTTCCAGGGGAATCCAACACACTCTTCTCTCCTCTGTGGCACTGCACGACACAGGTGCACTCACATACATGCAGCCAACACACTCATACACATTAAAAAAAGAAAAAGGGCATCATTTACCTCCTGCAGTTCCTCATGGGGCCTGCAGGGTGTGTTCAAAACCACATCAGCTCAGGTCCTAGCTTAAGGCATTAAAAACCCAAGTCTTGGGTTCAAGAGATGGCTCAGCAATTAGGAGCACTGGCTGCTCTTGCAGAGGACCTGGGTTCACTCCCAGCACCCACATGGTGGCTAACAATTGCCTGAAACTCCAGTTCCAGGGGATCTGATGCCCTCTTCTGGCCTCTGTGGGAACTGCATGCAGGTGGTGCACACACATACATGCAGGCACTCAGACTCTAAAATAAAAGTAAGTGCATCTTTGAAAACCCCAAGCCTTCACCATGGTCTTGAGCAATCCAGTCCCATGAGATGTAGTCCTGATTCTAGCTTCCCAGTCACTCTCTGATTCCCTGGCTCTTTATCCTCTTGATTGGAACCACACTGGCTCCTCCCTGTCATAGTGAATTTTCGTGTGTGCTGTTTCCTTTCTTGTTCACACTGTCCCTGTTGCTCTCACATCAAATCTCAAAGGTCATCTCCTCAGAGAGACCCCCTCACCTCATCTGCACTTAAAAAATCTTTATTTTATGTGTATGAGTGTATTGCTTGCATGTGTATAAGTGCACCCATGTTGTGCAATGTCCCCAGAGGTCAGAAAAGGGTGTCAGATTCCCTGGAACTGGAGTTATGGATGGTTGTTAGCTGTCATGAGGGTGCTGGTATTCAAACCTGGGTCCTCTGCAAGAGCAGCTAGTGCTCTTAACCTCTGAGCCATCTCACCAGCACCATCATCTGTACTTTAAACAAAATGTATTTTATTTATTTTATGTGTATGAGTGTATTGCCTGCATGCATGTGAGTGCACCCATGTTGTGCAATGCTGCGGAGGTCAGAAGAGGGCTTCAGATTCCCCTGGAACTGGAGTTAAAGAAAGTTCGTAGCTGCCATGTGGGTGCTGAAAATTGAACCTGGGTCCTCTGCAAGAGCAGTCAGTGCTCTTGACTGCTGAATCATATCTCCAGACCCATCATCATCTGTACTTTTTTTTTTTGGTCTTTTTGAGACAGGGTCTCCCTGTAGCCCCAGATGTCCTGGAACTCACTATGTAGACCAGGCTGGCCTTGAACTCACAGAGATCTGCCTGCCTCTGCCTCCTGAGTGCTGGGATTAAGGGCGTGTGCCACCATGCCCGGCCCCATCATCTGTACTTTTATATTTATTGTACGTGTATGAGTGTTTTGCCTGCATGCATATAAATGTACATGGATATAAATCCATGTGAGTGCTGTACCCATGGAGGCCAGAAGAGAGTGTCAGATCCTCCAGAACAGGAGTTACAGGGAGTTGTGAGCTGTCATTTGGGTGCTGGAAAACCAATCCGGGTCCTCTGCAAGAGTGGCAGTGTTCTTAACCGTTGAGCCGTCTCTCCAGCCCCCAATATTTTTTATTTTAAAGATTTTAATTTGTGTGTGTCTGTCTGTGTCAGTGTATGTGCAGATGTGAGTGCAGTTCCCATGCAGGCCAGAAGAGAATGTTAGATCCCCTACAATTGGAGTTATAGATGGTTGTGAGCTGCCACATGGGTATTGGAACCTGAACCCCATTCCTCCACAAGAAGAGCAAATGCTCTTAACAATGGAATCATCTCTTCAGCCTCTAATCTTTTCTATTAAAAATATTTATGCCAGGCGTGGTGGCACATGTCTTTAATCCCAGCACTAGGGAGGCAGAGGCAGGTGGATCTCTGTGAGTTCAAGGCCAGCCTGGTCTACATAGTGAGTTCCAGGACAGCTGGGGCTACAGGGACACCCTGTCTCAAAAAGACCAAAAAAATAAAAAGTGTGTGTGTGTGTGTGTGTGTGTGTGTGTGTGTGTGTAGGTGAGATAGGAGTTACTTTTCTCCTTTTACCATGTGTATCCTGGGGATTGAACTCAGGCTGTCAGGTTTGGCTGCAAGCTCCTTTGACCCATGCTCACCAGCCCTGAGATAAACTCTCTGTGTGTAAAAACTCTGTGTGTGTGTGTGTGTGTGTGTGTGTGTGTGTGTGTGTGCACGGGCGCATGTAGCCCATCAGGTGTTTTCCTCAATCCCTCTTTACACTATGTTTTTTTTTTTTTTCTTTTTGGTCTTTTTGAGACAGGGTGTCCCTGTAGCCCCAGCTGGCCTGGTCACTATGTAGACCAGGCTGGCCTTGAACGCACAGAGATCCACCTGCCTCTGCCTCTTGAGTGCTGGGATTAAAGGCGTGCGCCACCACACCCAGCTACACTATTTTTTTTAGATAGGCTCAGACTCTGTACCCCTGGTTGATCCGGAACTCACTGTGTAGACCAGGCTAACCTCACACTCACAGAGATCTGCTGCCTCGCCCTCTCTCTGCTGAGATCAAAGGCGTGTGCCACCATACCTGGCTTCCCCTCCTTATTTTTTGAGATGGGGGAGCTCACTGAACCTAGTGCTTGCCAACTCTGGTCTAGGCTGGCTGACCAGAGTTCCAGGAATCCATCTGTCTCCTCTTCCCCCAGAGGTGGGGTTACATGCCTGACTTTATATTCAGGTGCAGGGTGAAATTCCTGTCCTCATGTTTACAGGACAAACACATCACCAACTGAGCATCTCCACATCCCAACAGATAGTCTTGACATGCCAGACTGGCAGTGATCTCCCTATGATCCCTAGGCTGGCCATGAATTCCAGATCCTCCTGCCTCGGCCTCCTGAGTGCTCAGATGACATAGGTGCCCCACCAGGTTCCAACAGGTTAACCCGTCCTGGAGCGCCCCACTGTGATGTCGGGGACACCTTAAAGTTCTAGAGGACTCTTCATGCATGGTGAATTTCAGACTGTGGAAAGAACTTCTGGGCTGAATGGAGAGGGAACTGCACATGGTCTGTAGGGATCCTTGAAACCCACATCCACAGGGACAAGGCTGTCACCTCTCCCACCCCACCCTCTCCCGCCCCAGCCTCTCCCGCCCCACAAGCTTACCGAAGCAATACTTTTCTTTGATGCATTTGGGAGCGATTTTCTGAAAACGTAAACAGTCCAAGACATCCTCTTGAAACAAGTCTGGGCGGGGGGAGTGAGAAGTAGAACAAAAGCAAACCCAGAGAACAGGCAGGAACCGGGAGGGAATGGGGTGGGGGCGGGGGGGGGCGGGGAGGCTCCTGGGCCTCTGAAGTTTGGAAGAACCACTAACCAGCAGAGCAGGAGTAAAATGTAGGAATTTCATGAGAAAAATGCTTTTTACGTAATTATGGAAGAGTTAAGAAGAATTGCAATAGGCCAGATGACTTAATATTCTGGTCACACAATTGTTCAGGGGCTCTACCCCTGAGCCACACCCCAGCCCCTCACTGGGGGATCCTAGGCAGGGGCTCTACCCCTGAGCCACAACCCAGCCCCTTACTGGGGGACTCTAGGCAGGGGCTCTACCACTGAGCCACACCCCAGCCCTCTTTTGACTTGTTGAGACAGGGTCTTACTAGGTTTCCCAGGCTGCCCTTGAGTTTTCGATCCTTCTCCCTCAGCCGCCCCCAGTAGCTTGGATGACAGGTGTGAACCAGCCACCTACTCCACACATTCCTAAGCATTAATTTTGAATTTGCGTTTTTCCTGTCTTGGAGTGTCCTCTGGCAAAGGTGCATGTGGCCAGCATTCACTTAGCCTGACTCCTCCTCCTCTGTGTGCACACAGGAAGATGACATGCTTAGGCTCCCTGTGCAGCAAGTTGTCCCCATGTTACCTACATCCAGTCAATAGAGACGTGTGTTGTGTGTCAAATCCAGGCCCGGCCAAGAAGCTTCTGGTGTGATTCCCCAGATTCTGTACAGCAAGTTTAGGTCAGAATAGGGGCACTGGGATTTCTTTTTTTCTTCTTTAAAAATTTAAATTACTAGTTTTATTTTATGTGTATGAGTGTATTGCCTGCATGTGTGCAAGTGCACCTGTGTCATGCAATGCCTGTGGAGCTCAGAAGAGGTCCTCCCCTGGAACTTATGTTAAGGACAGTTGTTAGCTATGTGAATGCTAGGAATCGAACCTGGGTCCTCTGCAAGAGCAGTCAGTGCTCTTAACCGCTGAACCATCTCTCCAGCCCCGCCTTTTTTTCTTTAAAGGTTTATTATTTATGTGTCTGTGTGTGGGTTTGTCCCCATGAGTGTAGTACCAGAAGAGGCCAGAAGAGGGAACTTGTGGATCCTCTGGAGCTGGAGTTACAGGTTGCTGTGAGCCACCATGTGGGTGCTGGGAATCAAACCCAGGTCCTCTGGAATAGCAGTAAGTGCTCCTAACTGCTGAGCCATCAATCCAGCCCAGGATTTGTAAAACTGCCTGGACTCTCTGGAATTCAGCTGTGGGGGAGACAAGCCCTAACTGTGGTGAGCTATCGAGATGTGGGGTTTATTCTTTGATGTAACACATCCTGTCATGTCCTCAAGTTATGTAGATGCCCAGTTTGCAGTCAACAGCCACTTTTATAAACTCTCAAAAAGCAAATCTTGGGGGAAAAAAGCAAATCTTGGGCTGGAGAGATGGCTCAGCGGTTAAGAGCACTAGCTGCTCTTGCAGAGGACCCGGGTTTGGTTCCCAGCACCCCCCACCCATGGCAGCTAACAACTATCCATAATTCCAGTTCCACAGGATCCAACACCCTCTTCTGGCCTCCTCGGACATTGCACATATGGGTGTACTTACATACATACAGGCAAAACACTCATACACACAAGAAAAATTTTAAAAATAAATAAAAAGCAAATTTTGAGCTTGACCTATTGACACCTGTAATCCCAATACTAGGGAGACTGGGGCAGGAGGACTGCCCTGAATTCCAGGTCAGCCTGGGCTACAGAGACCCCGTCTCAAAAGAGAAAATCAGGGTGGGACAAGGGTATGGGGAGGCCACTCAGTTGGTAGAATGCTTGCCCTGCAGCACAAGGGCCTGGCAAGCACAGCCAGGCAGAGTGGTGAGTTCTTTTACTCTCAGCTCTGAGGAGGCAGAGGGAGGCAGATCTTGGGGGTTTATTGATAGCTACTCAGACTAAGCAGTGAGCTCCAGGCCAGTGAGAGATCCTGTCTCAAAATCAAGGTGGATGGCTCATGAGGATGACACCAAGTTGCACACACACACACACATACACACACACACACACAGAGAAAGCAGCAAACTACCCTCTCTTAGTGCCCTGGTTTTGGGGCAGTGTGTGTGGCACTGGGGCTTGATGGCAGGGGGCATGGGAAAATGTATGGGAGGGGAGGACGGAGGAACAGATGGTAAAACCAGGACTCACGGCAGGTTTTATGATCACAGGCTGTAAGAGAAGAGAGCAGAGTTAGTGGTGTCGGGACAGAGGCTTGAGAATTTAATTGGAAAGTGCCTGAGGGAGGGATGGGGTTCATCAGGGGAAGGAGAGAGAGGAACAGTGGATGGAGGCAGAGTTGCAGGGGAAGAAGGGAGGAAGTTCGGAAGGCAGAAATGGGATGCACAGGGAAGGCAAGGAGGGGTCCGCTGAGAGCAGGTAGCACCTTTTGATTCATAGGCGTGCAGGCCTTTCTTTAGCTCCTTGATCCCGTGCTCCCTAAGGTTCACCAGCTCCTCCAGCAGAGGACCATCTGAGGACAAAGCAGATGCTTGTCTGAGGGTATGTCCAGACCAGCGCCCAGCCAGGTACAAAACAAGGAATCGGGGCTGGAGAGATGGCTCAGCAGTTGAGAGCGCTCATTGCTCTTCCAGAGGACGGAGGCTCAGATCCCAGCACCTATGTTAGGTGACTCACAATCACCTATAACTCCAGCTCCAGAGGCTCCAACACCCTCTTCTTGCCTTTGACATGTGCATTCATGTGTACACACCTATACATATATGCATTCATGCACAAATAAAATTAAATCTTTTTTTAATAATTAGGAAACTGAAATCAGTGTATAAGTTACCTTTGCTCCTTGCTCTGAAAAAGTACCTGACAGAATCAACTTAAGAGGGAGACACGAACAGGCATGTTGGAGTATGTCTTTAATCCCAGCATACAGGAGGCAGAGGCAGGCACATCTCTGAGTTCGAGACCAGCCTGGTCTACATAGTGAGGCCCTGTCAGAGGAGAGAGGGGAGAGGGGAAGGGGAGAGGGAAGAGACAGAGGAGAGAGGAGAGGAAGAGAGGAGAGGAGAGGAGGAGAAGAGAGAGAGAGAGAAAGAGAGAGAGAGAACAGAGAAGACAGAGGAGGGTGAGAGAGAGTTGCACAATGCCCATGTAGGCCAGAAGAGGGTGTTGGATCCCTTGGAACTGGGCTTACAGATGGTTGTTAGCCACCATGTGGGTACTGGGAACTGAACCTGGGTCCTCTGCAAGAGCAGCCAGTGCTCTAACCATTGAGCAATCTCTCCAGCTTCCCTTTTTTTTTTTGGTGTGTAGAGGGCGTAGGGATGTACATGTGCCACAGTGCAAGTGTGGAGGCCAAAGGGCAGCCTTTGTGAGTCAGTTCTCTCATTCCATTCGGTGGGTTCTGAGGCTTGAACTCAGGTCATCAGGCTTGGTGGCAAGCACCTTTACCTGCTGAGCCATCTTGCCAGCCCAGAGAGCTTTATTTTGGCTCACAGTGCCGGGGACTAGCACTTCATCTGGCAAGAAGACACAGTGGCCGGGGTGGTTCATCTGTGGCAGCGGGACCTTACAATGCAGCTCAGTCACATCTTGGCAGGTCAGGAAGCAGAGAACAGGGGGCTGGAACCCTCACATCCCATTCTCAATGGTTTGTGTTCGCTAGCTAAGCCCTATGTCCCAAAGTTCCACAACGCCCCAAAACACCGCCACCTACTGGAGACAAAGGTTCAAGCACATGGGACCAAAGGTGGGCATTTCACAGACCACCAGGGAGATGTTGGTTTAGTCAAGAACTCCAGCGCTGGAGAGATGGAGCACTGGCTGTTCTTCTAGAGAACCAGGGTTCAGTTCCCAGCACCCACACAGTAGCTAACAACCACCTGTAAGTCCAGTTCCAGAGGATCGGTCGGCCTCTTCTGACCTCCGTGGGCACTGTATGATGCAGGTGCACTTACCTACATGCAGGCAACACACTCATAACCATAAAATAAAAATAAATAAATTCAATGCATAAATAAAAAAGATCTCAGGGTGAACAGGAAAGTGAGGCTGTGGGCCTGTCCACTCCCTGTGACGGCTGCCTAGAACCACAATCTCCCACAGAGAGCTTCCGCCTCTGTGACTTAGCTGTGTGCCTCTGGAGAGCTCACTGACCTCTCCAAACCTCAGGTTCCGCAGGCTCTGTAAAGTGGGAATCTCCGATGTGTGCTTCCACCAAGCCTGCCCACGGGTGCAGTAAAGGATGCATGGCTTGGTTAGATTTGGTGTCCAGGGAGGAAGCACGGGGGTGTGGGAAGGGCAGACAGGAGAGGGGGTCCCCCACCTGTCAGAGAACTAATCTTTATGTGCTGGATTCCCCTCTTGAAAGAGGTCACCACCGCCTCCAGATCATCCACAGCTGGAGACCAGAAGGGAGGACACGTCAGAGGGTCTCCCTGAGACCAGGCCTCCCCCAGCCTCGCTCCCAGCACCCCAGCACACACCCACTTTGCCCACGAACACATTGAGCGCATAGTCCCCGAAGAAAGGCCCTTCCATGCCCAGCATTAGGGCCTGAGCCGCGCCCCCAGCCCTTCGCTGTGGAAGCGCTTGGGGATGATCTCGGCGCGCAGCTTCTTCAGGGCATCCTGCACAGACCGGTCGCACTGCAGACAGCCCCAGCCCCCAGGGCTGCCCAGGCTGCCCAGGAGCACAAGGGCCAAGGCCAGAGGCATGGTGTGGGCTTTGTGACATCACAGGGCAGGGCCAGAGAACACTCAGGAGGTCCATCTAGACCTCTGGAATTCCATCACTTACCACATCCACTGAGTACTTACTGTATGCCAAGTGCTGTTCCAGGTCCTCCAGAGCCTGGGCCGAAAAAGCAGGTGGACCATGCCCCACAGCCACTTGAATTTCTTCATTCAACAGGATTTTCCCTTCCCTCCCTTCCTTCTATTAATTTTTTTATTATTTTCATTTTATGTGTGTGTGTTGTCTGCATACATTTAAGTGCATCTGTGTCATGCAATGCCCTCAATTTGATGGTTGCTAGCCGCCATGTGGGTGCTGGGACTTGAACCCAGGTCCTCTGCAAGAGCAGCCAGTGCTCTAGCCACTGAGTCATCTCTCCAGTCCCTCTTTCCCTCCCCCCTCCTTCCCCCTCCCTTCCTCCCTCTTTCTCTTTCTTTCTTTCTTTCTTTCTTTCTTTCTTTCTTTCTTTCTTTCTTTCTTTCTCTCTTCTCTTTTGTATCTTATATAGCCAAGGCTAGCCTCAAGCTCACTAAGCAACTGAGGATGACCTTGAACTCCTGATCCCCCTGCCCTTGCCTTCTGAAAGCTGGGACTGCAGGGCACAGCACCACACTTACCTTACCTAATTTTAACTTGAAGTTTTAAAAGTGGACTTCTAGGGGCAGTTGAGATGGCTCAGCAAGGACAGGCACTTTGCCTCTAAGCCTGATGACCTATGTTTGATCCTTGGGACCCACATGGTGGAAGAAATGACTCCCACAAATTATACCCTGACTGCCACTCAAGTGAAATGACATGCACACACACACAAATTTTTAAAAGTAATTTTAAAAAGCTTAAGAAAAAGTGGCACACAGACACCCTGTCTCAAAAATCGGTAATAATAATAATAACAATAAATTATAATAATAATTCAAAATTGGACTTCAGGACTGGAGAGATGGCTCAGCAGTTGAGGCCACATGCTGCTCTGGCAGAGGCCTAGAGTTCCACTCCCAGCACCCATGTGGGGCAGTTCACAACAGCACTCCAATTCCAGGGGATCTGACCCCCTCTTCTGGCCTCCAAGAGTCCCGCATCCATATACACATACAGACACACACACATATAATTAAAATTATATATAAAAATAATTGTTTTTTTTAAACCGAGCCTCCCTGTAGCCCCAACTGGCCTGGAACTCAGTATGTAGACCAGGCTAGCCTTGATCTCACAAAGATCTGCTGCCTGAGTCCTGGGATTAAAGGCGTGCGACACCATGCTCAGCTGCCCTTCCCTTTTTAGACATGGTCTCTCCCACTCTGTAGTCCTGGCTGGCCTGGAGCTCACTATGTGTGTCAAACTGGACTGAAACTCACAGCAGGCCTCCTGCTTCAGTCTTCTGAGTACTGGAAGTAACAGGTGCAATGCCTGTGGAAGCCAGAAGGAGGCGTGGGATTCTCTGGAACTGGAGTTACAGAGAGTTGATAATCACCATATGGGTGCTGAAAACCAAACCTGGATCCTCTTGCAAGAGCAGCCAGTGCTCCTAACATCAGAGCCATTGCTCCAGCCCTCCCCTATTTAAAAATCAGTGGGTTCAACTTTTTAAAAGAAATATTTGGTTTTTTGTTTATTTATGTATTAAATTTGTTATTATTTATGTTTTGTGTGTGTGAATGGATGCGCATGTGTGTGGGTGCTGGTGCTTGTATGTGCCTGCAGAGGTCAGAAGTGAGCATTGGGTGCCCACATCTCTTTCGCCCCATTTATTCCTTTGAAGCAGAGTCTCTCCCTGAACCTTGGCCTCACATTTCCTCACCTAGGCTGGAAACCAGCAAGCCATGTCTCTGCCCCCACAGTCCTGGGATTGCAGGGTGTTCTGGCTGTAGGCTCGTTACAGGGGAGCTGTGATCTGAACTCTGGTCTTCATGATTGTACAACAAGCTTAACAGGTGAGTCAGCTCTCCAGCACCCCAGAGTCATTTAAGAACATTTTATACATTTATTTTTTGTATGTGTATGAGTGTGTGTGTGTGTGTGTGTGTGTGTGTGCGTGATGGTTCATGTGTGGAGGTCAGAGAACAACTTGCTAGAGTCAGTTCTCTCCTCTACCATGTGGATCCCTGGTTTTGAACTCAAGTTGTCATCTTGCTAACCCTGCAGGTCATTTTTTATTATGTCTGCAGACACAATGTAGTCTCCACTGCCCTGGGGAAATGTCCTGGGATGGGCATGCCAGGCAGTTTATTCAGTGGACCTGTAAGTGGGTGGAAATGCATGGTTTCCTGCTGGTTAGAATTGGCAGACCATCGGCTTCCAGACACCTGACTGTTCCTGGTGTGTTTAAGGCTGGGAGCCTGAGGAGAGATGGGCACACAGGGTTGGGCCGGCATGCCAGCACATGTCCCTAATCCTAGGCAGAGGCAGGTGGATTTCTGTGAGATTGAAGCTAGCTTGGTCTACATAGTGAGTTCTAGTTCTAGACAGGGAGCCCCTGTCTCAAAAAAACCAGATCATTTATTTACTTATTTTATGTGTATGAGTGTATTGCCTACATGTATGTAAGTATACTGCCTGTGTGTAGTGCCTGTGGAGGCCAGAAGAGGGTGTCAGATCCCCTGGAACTGGAGTTACAGAGAGCAGTTTGCCTTCATGTGTGTGCTGGAACTGAACCCCGGGTCGCCTACAAGCAGCCAGTGCTGTAACCACGGAGCCAGCACTCAGCCCCAGACAGTGGTTCTTCTTTTCAGCTGCTGTACAAAACAGTGGGTTTCTTTAGGACACTACATGACATATCATTTGCCTGTGCTCAAGTTCACCCCTTGCTACCCTGCCTTGTCCCCTGCCCACTCCCCCTGCCTGAACAGTTCCCTCCCTCCCTCCCTCCTTTCCTCCCTCCCTTCCTTTCTCCCTCCCTCCCTCTGTCCTCCGTTTTCTTTTTTCCTTCTTTTTCTTTTGATGCAGGGTCTTCTTCTGTGTCCTAATCTGGCCTGAAATTTGTGGCAACCCTGCAAAAGACTTCCCCACCTCACCTTTTTTTTTTTTTTTTTTGAGACAGGGGCTTATGTAGATGTAGCTAAGACTGGCCTAGAATTCCCTATGTATCTGAGGATGAGCTTGAACTCCCCGATCCTCTGACCTGCACCTCCCAAGTACATGAGCCACATAGCTGGTTTATGTGGTGCTGGGAACAGAACCTAGGGCTTTGTGCAAGCACTCTACCCACTGACCCACATCCCTAACCCCCTTCTGTTTTCTGTCCTGTATATAAAGGGTTAGGAACCCTGCCAAACCCACTTCCCTCAGGGCACCCTGATCTATTCCCTGAAGGGCAGGTATAGGGACAGGCTAGCGCTTGACACCCAGGGGATGGTGGGAAACACTTCTCTGGCCCGGGGCAGCGGCTGGGCTGCAGGCCAGTTTCCTTCCCCGCCTACCTCACAGCGCCAAGAACCATTAGTGTCACTTTGTCCTGACCCTGCACCTGCCACTGCCTCTAGCTGGGTCCTAGTGCAGCGACTTGAACTGTTCAGCCTCAAATGAGATTAAAACGTAAGGGCGCAGTATGGCCAGAGTGGGCGGAAGCTGAGTGCATTCCAGCGGTGTGCATGGTGTGCTGAAGGCATGGATTTGCACGGTTTGTGAGGACAGAGCAGCTCTTGAAATGGGAACATTACACTTTTCCCACACTTACAGATGCAGAGACTCAGAGGTATATCAAACAGGACCTTTTTAAAAATTATTCTTATTTTATCAATTTATTAATATTTATTTATTTATTTATTTATTTATTTATGGTCTTTTTGAGACAGGGTCTCCCTGTAGCCCCAGCTGTCCTGGAGCTCACTATGTAGACCAGGCTGGCCTTGAATTCACAGAGATCCACCTGCCTCTGCCTCCCGAGTGCTGGGATTAAAGGTGTGTGCCACCACGCCTGGCTTATTTTTATTTTATTTTATATTTATTTACTTTTGTCTTTTTGAGACAGGGTCCCCCTGAAGACCCAGCTGGCCTAGAATGCTAGGTAGACCAGGCTGGCCTTGATCTCACAGAGATCTGCCTGTCTCTGCCTCCCAAGTGCTGTCAGGAGTATGGAGGTCAGGGGACAACTTTTGGGAATTAGTTTTCTCCTTCCACTATGTGGGTTCTGGGGATCTGTCATAAGGCTTGGGGACAAGTGCTTTTATCCACTGATCCTGTTTCATGTCTCCCTCTACTTTCATGGGTGTTTATTTGATTCTTGGTTTGAGACAGGGTCTCCCTGTAGCTCCAGCTGACCTGGAACTCATTATGTAGACCAGGCTGGCCTTGGACTCACAGAGATCCACCTACCTCTGTATCTTGAGTGCTGCCTCCTGGCTCTGTCTTTTCTTTTGAAGGCTGAGGACCGTCTCTTCCATGTGCCTGCCATGCCTTGTTCCATCCTTGAAGATCCATGTTCTCTCCGAGGCTGCTAGCAGGTGGTTCCCTCCTGAATATGCATTCTATTTTACAATTTTTAAAAAACTTCAAAAATAAGCTTGGGTGTGGTGGTACATGACTTTAATCCCAGCACTCAGGAGGCAGAGGCAGGTGGATCTCTATGAGATTGAGGTCAGCCTGGTCTACACAGTGAGTTGTAGCCAGCTGGAGCTACAGGGAGACCCTGTCTCAAAACAAACAAATACATAAACCAAAAAATCTTCAAAAATACAATACTTTATGGACTGTCCGGGACAAACACTCCCTGGTGTGGGCCTGGGTGTGACCAGAGGCAGGGCCAGGCCCTGACCTGTCCTCAGACACATCACCCCTAGTTCACTCTCACACCCACGGGTGTGGACTGGAGACCTTGCCCAGCTCCTGTCACTCAGCCCGGCCTGGGGACAGCTGCCCCAGTGTGGACTCAGACCCTAGTGGGCTGGGAGGTGACCCTGTAGTTCCAACCCTGCCATCCCCCTGGCCTATGGTCAAAGCTTTCTGAGAAGAAGAAATGACAAAAGTTTATTAAAAACCATGT